GTCTAGGGCCTGCCATAGCACACTAGTGCACCAGGCCCAGCCGAGCCGGGGCTGGGCTCATTCCTGGCTCCACCATCCACGCCCTGGGGACTTGGGGCCAGTCCCAGGGCTCCTGAGGGCGTGTGCTCCATTTCCAAGGAGACGCTTAGGGCCCAGCACCAGGCTGGCCCTGCCAGCCACATTCCAGCAGGCTCAGCCCGGGCTGCGTGGTAGGGACAGTAGCTCACTGGGCCAGGCCCAGCTGCAGTACGGTTCCAACAAACTGAGGCGTATTAACCTCCTTCTGGAGTGCAGCAGACATGCCCTGTGCCCATGGGTTACTCAGCCAGAGCCTCCTCCCCAGTACATTACACCTCCTCTCACTCCCAGAGCTCAGCTACACCCAGAGCCCCACATCCCCTTGAAATATTAGAGCTCAGGGACTCCCCAGCCCACATAGCCAGCCCCTGTCCATCGCCAGGCACTCTGGTAAAAGCAGCAGCTCTGTGGTGCCGGTGTAACCCCCACACCTGCTGGGGGAGGGGCACTGAACATAAGTCCTGCCAGACTGGGTCAGACCCAAGGTCCATCTAACCCAGTGTCCTGTCTGCTGACAGTGTCCAATGCCAGATGCCCCAGAGGGAGGGAACATAACAGGTAATCCTCATGTGATCCCTCCCTTGTCTCCCACTTAGAGAAACGCCATTCCTACCCATCCAGGCTAATAGCCATTGAAGGACCTAACCTCCATGAATCTCTTCTGAATCCTGTTAAAGTCCTAGCCTCCACCACATCCTCTGGCAAGGAGTTCCACAGGTTGACTGTGCACTCAGTGAAGAAAAGCTTCCTTTTGTTTTTTTAAAACCTGCTGCCTATTCATTTCATTTGATTACCCTCCGTTCTTATATTGTGGGAATATGTAAATAACTTTTCCTTATTCACTTTTCCACACCAGTCATGATTTTATAGACCTCTCTCATATTCCCCCTTAATCTCCTCTTTGCTCAGCTGAAAAGTCTAAGTCTTTTAAATCTCTCTTCCTATGGGACCCATTCCAAACCCCTCATCACTTTTGTTGCCGTTTTCTGAACCTTTTCCAATGCCAATATATCTTTTTTGAGATGAGGCGCCCACATCTGCACACAGTATCTAAGATGTGGGCGTACCAAGGATTTATAGAGAGGCAATAAGATATTCTCCATCTTATTCTCTCCCCTTTTTAATGGCTCCTAAATCATGTAGGGGCACTGAGACCACTTACAATGAGCGAGAGAAGGAGTCTGCCCTACAGCCTGAGCTGGGAGCCAGCTGGCTTTTAGCACACGCTGCAGAGACTCCTGCACTGAGCTCCAGAGTTCCCCGGTTCGGTTCCCCCTGTCGGTGTTACACCGGCACTCAAGAACCACTTAGGAACCTCTTCAGTTGTGCTGTGGCCAGGCTGCCATGCGTGTTAGGCTGGGTTACTTTCTTGGAAGCATGGCTCTTCACTCAGTTAATCCAGCGGCAACGGGAGCCCAGCCAGCGCTGGGACAAGAGGGGGCAGGGCAAGGAGACACCTCTGGGGAAGGAGCGTGTCTGTAAACAGTAATGGGATCTATAAATATTTGGAGAGCGGGGCCGGCCAGGAGTCAGCTGCTCGCATGGGAACCGTCGCCTTATGTGGCAGGGAAGCCAAGCCGGAGAGCACGGGGACCCAGGACAATCACAGATCTGGGCCCCAGAGAGGAGCAGGCTGTAGGTTCCCTGTCCACCTGAGGGCCCCCCCCCTCCCATGAAGCTGGGCCCCGCCCAGTCCTTCCTGGCCCCTGGAGGCATGGGCATGGAGACATGTTTGGGGAAGGCAGTCTCCCTTGCCCACAGGAGAAAGGAGGGCAACTAGACAGACCCAGGGCGCCTGGTCTCCTGTCCCTGACTGCAGGTAGCACAGCCGCTCTGGGCTTTCCCAGGTCAGGAGACTGCTTTAAAAGCCCAGTATTAAATATAGAATGGGCTGGGCTGTTGGCCACCAGGCCCATGAGCCTGCAGGGGCCCGCGTCTCAGGCTCGTCTCTGCCCCCTGGAGTGCTAGAAACTTTCTTCTTTAACACACAATTCAGAGCCTCACCCAGTGCCACAGCTGCAGGAGCTGGGGCGTCACAGAAAGCCCCCCACGCCACGGGATGTGCAGAACCAAGGCACAGGAGTGAATACCTGGCGCTCCAGCAGTGGGCAACTAGTGGGAGCCTGCTTGGCACAGAGACCCCCCAGCCAGAGCAGATACCATAGCGCTTACAGCCACAAGAAGGACAATCATCTGCGCCACGCTGAGCGCATCACAAAGCCCTCCACCCCCCAGGCAGGGCACGTTCAGGGGCCCCCCCCCAGCCCCATTTCCTTAGGGCAGGAGCTCCCAGCCTGCGGGGGACACAGGCTGGCACCTGCAAGATGCAGGCATCTCCTGGGAGCCGCTGCAGAGACTCCTGCACTGAGCTCCAGAGTTCCCCGGTTCGGTTCCCCCTGTCGGTGTTACACCGGCACTCAAGAACCACTTAGGAACCTCTTCAGTTGTGCTGTGGCCAGGCTGCCATGCGTGTTAGGCTGGGTTACTTTCTTGGAAGCATGGCTCTTCACTCAGTTAATCCAGCGGCAACGGGAGCCCAGCCAGCGCTGGGACAAGAGGGGGCAGGGCAAGGAGACACCTCTGGGGAAGGAGCGTGTCTGTAAACAGTAATGGGATCTATAAATATTTGGAGAGCGGGGCCGGCCAGGAGTCAGCTGCTCGCATGGGAACCGTCGCCTTATGTGGCAGGGAAGCCAAGCCGGAGAGCACGGGGACCCAGGACAATCACAGATCTGGGCCCCAGAGAGGAGCAGGCTGTAGGTTCCCTGTCCACCTGAGGGCCCCCCCCCTCCCATGAAGCTGGGCCCCGCCCAGTCCTTCCTGGCCCCTGGAGGCATGGGCATGGAGACATGTTTGGGGAAGGCAGTCTCCCTTGCCCACAGGAGAAAGGAGGGCAACTAGACAGACCCAGGGCGCCTGGTCTCCTGTCCCTGACTGCAGGTAGCACAGCCGCTCTGGGCTTTCCCAGGTCAGGAGACTGCTTTAAAAGCCCAGTATTAAATATAGAATGGGCTGGGCTGTTGGCCACCAGGCCCATGAGCCTGCAGGGGCCCGCGTCTCAGGCTCGTCTCTGCCCCCTGGAGTGCTAGAAACTTTCTTCTTTAACACACAATTCAGAGCCTCACCCAGTGCCACAGCTGCAGGAGCTGGGGCGTCACAGAAAGCCCCCCACGCCACGGGATGTGCAGAACCAAGGCACAGGAGTGAATACCTGGCGCTCCAGCAGTGGGCAACTAGTGGGAGCCTGCTTGGCACAGAGACCCCCCAGCCAGAGCAGATACCATAGCGCTTACAGCCACAAGAAGGACAATCATCTGCGCCACGCTGAGCGCATCACAAAGCCCTCCACCCCCCAGGCAGGGCACGTTCAGGGGCCCCCCCCCAGCCCCATTTCCTTAGGGCAGGAGCTCCCAGCCTGCGGGGGACACAGGCTGGCACCTGCAAGATGCAGGCATCTCCTGGGAGCAGAGGGAAGTGCTTGCCAGACAGAACGGCAGAGTGGCACCCAGCTGCTCGGAGGAACAAGGAGGAAGATGCAGAGGGGGGTGGGAAGAGTGAAGCCATAAAACTGCCCAACAGAGCAGCCAGCTCATAAACGCTTAAGCAATACCAAGCCTTGTTTTAAACAACCGCCCGTAACAGCAATGAATACCTTTAACATCACTTGCGCAGAGGCCAGATCCCCAATGTGACACTTCCTCCAGCCGCTCTAGGGAGCAAACACTTGCCATTTGCCAGCTTTTATAGAGGGCTTCCTTACCCAGAATGCTTTGCAAGGGAGGGCTGTCCCATCGCTGTTTCTCTGAGTGACTGACAGCCCATCCAACCAATCAGATCTCTTTTCCCCACTTCTTGGTCTACTAAATGTTCACCCCTTCACAGGGGTGTGTGACAACCAGTGTTTTCGGGAAGGGGTGTTTCTAATTCACATGTGGATGAGGCTGGAGCCAGACTGATATGCCACAAGGACACATGGTCCTGCCCTGTTCTACCCTGCCTGTCTCCCCCACACACACACACACACATACACTCTCCCCTCTCCCCATACACTGGGTCACATTCAGTGCCCGGCCGGGTGTGGAGGCCGAGAGCAGCTGGGAAGGTGTTTCCCTCACCCCTGAGGATGCCTGTGGAGGGTGTTGGGTAGGAGGCAGAGGGGCTGGCTGGGAGGTAGGGTGGCCTGGGGAGACGGGCATGCGGAGGAGGGAGCTCGTCAGACCCAGAAAGATCCCAGTGCGGGGAAGCTGGCAGGGCGCAAGGAGGCAGAGGGAGCATTGACAGCTGCAGCCTGCAAGAGAGATGGGTCGGGGAACTTCCCTGGCTCCTGTGTGCAGCACACTGGCTGCTGAGTCAGAGACGCCCAGTCCCTGCAGAGACCAGGGCGGGGGCAGGGTTAGACCCGTGGGAGTTATGGGCCCCCACAATCAGATGCAACCCGTGGCTTAAAGCCCCCCTGCTCCCTGGATACAATAAAGGCCAGGGACCTCGGGCCTCCCTCCCCGCTCAGCCAGACGCGCAGGAAGCAGACCCATGACGCCTGGACTCGCCTCCGCCGACTCCCCGTCCCCCCGGGGCTACTCCACATGCTGAGCGCTGGGGGGGCAGAAGAGAGACATGTGGTGCCCTTCCCTGGAGGGTAGTGGAGACGCCCACGCTCTGAGATGTCCCACCTCGACAGTGGACAGCCCTGTCCCCCTCTGCGCTCCTCCCGGCTGCATAGCACCAGGCAGCAGGGCTTGCTGGAGCCGGGAGGCTGTGTTCCGGCTGCAGCTCTCTGGGTAGCACCGGGCTGGGCGCACAGCCTGCCATGCCAGTTCACGGGGCATGGGGCATTTGCTCTTTCCTGGCCACCACTGCCCACTGCCCGCAGGACAGGACTCCTGCCTGGGGCACCACGCCTCTGCCTGCTTGTCGCGTGTCATCAGCAGCTGGGGCTGGGCTCCAGGCAGCTTCCCGCTGGTCGGCGAGGGGTTCCACAGTGCGGGGGGGCTGGGCGCACAGCCTGCCATGCCAGTTCACGGGGCATGGGGCATTTGCTCTTTCCTGGCCACCACTGCCCACTGCCCGCAGGACAGGACTCCTGCCTGGGGCACCACGCCTCTGCCTGCTTGTCGCGTGTCATCAGCAGCTGGGGCTGGGCTCCAGGCAGCTTCCCGCTGGTCGGCGAGGGGTTCCACAGTGCGGGGGCCTCTCTGGGCAGGGCTGGAACGGGGACTCTGCTCTCGAGGCCGCAGGAAGCCAGGCACTTTGGGTCACAGGCTGCCAGCAGAGAGGCTGTGACCCCGCGTCTGCCCCCACGCCCGTGTTTGCCGGGCTAGAGAGCCGACTGCAGAGCTCTTGGCTTCGGTGCCAGGCCCCCCAGCCCTGGCCAGGGGCCCCAAGAGCTCTGCCTTGGAACAGCTAGGTGCGCTGTTGCCTGGCTTTGATTTGCAGCTGCTTTGACAATGTAACCTCCAGCCAGAGTCATAAACTACCAGGGAGCCCTGCGGCAGCAGCCGGGCCATTCGCAGGCTGAGACTGCGAGCGCTTTGCTGCGCCGGAGGCTGGAGAAGAAGCCGGCTGCTGTCCCAGCCTGAGGGCTGGGCTCCTCTGCTCAGGCTGGGGCAGCAATGGGCGGGAGAGGCAGTGGAGGGGCCGAGGGAGAGGTGAGGGGCTGGGAACTCAGCCGGAGGGTGGACTCTCGCTCTCTTGCCCGTGTCCTACGGAAGGCCAAGCTCTGCAGCCAGGGCAGGAGTGCCTGGAAACTACCCCAACGGCAGGGCATAAACCTGACTCTGCCATCACCCCGTGCAGTCATACACCGCCCTCTCCCCACACTCTGCTCTCAGGCTTTGCCCCTCTCCAGCAGGACCCAGCCCTTGCTCTGTCAGTCTCTCCGGCGCAGCTCCCTTCCCACCGGTCGCCCCTGCGCTCTGCCTAGTCTCGCTGGCTGGGGTGTCGCTCTCGGGGGCTGGATCATGCCCCTGGGTTCCTCTTCGAGCTCCCTGGGCCCGGCTTGGTGAGCTGAAGGGCCTGCCGGGGGGAGCTCTGGGCTGGGTTGCTCTCTGCTTTGCTCTCCGCTCTGCGTACTTAGACTCTGGCCTCCCCGGGGCAGCTCCAGTGCAAGCACATTTCAACCGGGCCCTAAGCAGAGCCACTCACCTCTCCCTGGCACCCCCGGGCACTCCCTGCATCCCTCTCTCTGAGCCAGGTGCGCTGCTTCTGGGGCCCAGGGTCTCTGGGGGACCGTCCGGCAAAGGAGCCGTGAGCAGTCAGGTGCGAGTGCTCCCCCTGGATAGCCAGGGTCTCCCCCCGCAGGAGAAACGAGGCTCAAACCCCACTATGCAGCATAGCTGCCCAGCTTCGTGGGCCCGTTCTCTCTCACGCATGGGCACACAACTCTCACATGGGCATGCACACACACTGAGCCGCTTTGGGTTCTCCAGACAGACCAGTCAGGACAGGGTCTTTGGGCCCGCAGAGCCCAGCGAGCGGCCAGCCCAGCACAGTAGCCAGCTTGCAGAATCCCTTGGAGCAGCGACACTTGATGGTTATTTGTTCTGCAGTAGCAGCTAGAGCAGCAGTGGGCAACCTGCCACCCATCGGGGCTCTGTGTGTGGCCCCCCAAATATCTGGTTTGCTGTTGCCCACGTGCAGGGTTTCCATCCACGCAGGGGGGTTTCCCTAGCAGTGTTACTGAAGTGCCACGCACATAGAGCCAGGCCACGTGCAGGGAGGCGCGTGCTGATTGCACACAGCGCTGACCGGGAGAGCCGGGCGCTCCTCAGCAGCCAATCCCAGCGCTGCTACGGGCCCGCCAGCACCGCCCGCATGGTCTAGGGCCACACGCACAGTGAGCGAACGCGCCCCGGGACAGCACCTCGGTGAGGACAATCGTGAAGATGAAGGAGGCCGCTCCTCTGGCCCCCTCACTAGCTTGGGCTGGTCATCGCTGTGCTAGAGGCCCCAATAAGACAGTGGGGGACCTTTGCGCCGGGCGCTGGACTAAAAGGCAGCCCCTGCCCCTCCGGATTGCCAGGAGCATGACACGAGGCAGCAGGTGGAGGCCACAAATGAAAGGGACAGCAGGGCCCCAGTGAACTGTCCTAATAACCAAGGCTCAGAGACCCCAGCCAGGCAGGGGGTGGGCAGGCATGTGATGTGCGGGCACCCGGGCAGTGTGGGGGGCTGGAGGGTTCCCCCCCCCAGGAGTTAGAGGTTACTCTTTCATTAGCAATTCATCAGGGGTGATTCCTCCAGCAATTCGTCCAGCCAAAGGTGGTGACCCTGGGGGGCTGGGTGCACGGCTTGGCAGCTGTTGGGCGTGGGCTCTTCCCACACGGAGGGCTGTGCAGGCCGAAGCATTAAGGCGGGACAGGTGACAAAGGCCAGCACTGCCAGGCTGCCGGTCGCTCTCAGTGCAGTCGACAATTCCCCCCCACCTCCCATTTCCCTAGGAGGGTGGGGAAGCGCTGGGATGGGTTCCCTAGGGAGGGGATGGAATCTCCATCCCTAGAGGTTTTTATGTCTCGTCTTGACTAAGCCCTGGCTGGGTTGATTTAGTTGGATTGGTCCTGCCTTGGGCAGGGGGCTGGACTGGATGGCTCCTGAGGTCTCTTCCAGCCCTATGATTCTCTGGTTCTATGACCCCACCCAGGTGCTGCGTGACCCGCACCCTGGCGCATGCCGTGCATGGTGGGTAACAGGCCACGCAGGGCCAGCTTGCCCCCCGCTCACGCCGTTTGGGGTCACAAGCCAGGTGCCGCCCTAGCAGGCCCTAGAGCCAGAGCCAGCCCTGAGGCACACAGAGGGGGGCTGCTTTCTGCGGTGGGAAGACGGAGGCCAAGCAGCGCCCAGCCCCAGCACGGTTCAGCCTGGTTCCGTTGGCGCTGGGCCTGCTCCCAGCCTGTGGCGTTGGGCGCTTCGATGCCCCGGGGCTCAGAGCGCGGAGAAGGGGGCGCAGACCGAGGAGGCAAGTGCCGCGGCGCCCTGCTGGAGGGGCCGGGCTGAGCACAGCTCTGCTTTGTATCTGGGGGTGTCTCTGAGGTCCCTGCCCGCGTCCTGCTCTGAGGGGGGCCTGGTGCACACACTCACTCCCTGCCCCTTGCTCCCCCCGGCAGGCAGCAGGGAGGCGGCTTTCGTCTACGCCATCTCCTCGGCCGGGGTGGTGTACGCCATCACCCGGGCCTGCAGCCAGGGGGAGCTGAAAGCCTGCGGCTGCGACCCCCTCAAGCGCGGCCGCTCCCGGGACGAGCGA